TCTCTCATTTTTTTACCCTTTGCAGCAGATTTGAACAGATTTAATATTTTTAATGTTTTGTATTTTAATAACTCTGAAGCTCGTTAGGATTGTAGTTTCACTTCGTAGTTTCTAATCAATTATTGATGGGCATTGAACACAAATGCAGGCCACACTTTTAAGATTTTATTTATGAAAAAGAAAGATGGAAACTGTAAAAGTTGAATCGTGTCTTGTTGTTCCTCTGCTCCACGTTCAGCTCTGGTTCCTCAGTCCAGCTGTTTATGCTTCATAGGAGGTCAGAGGTCACTCGCTTCCAGAGAGCCGATGTTCCTGCAGGTCTGATTGTTGGCTGAACATCAGGTAGAGTTCAGAGGATTCTCATGAATCCTGACTCTGTCTGGAGGATTAAACTTCACTCAGACACGTTTTCCCTTCAGACGATTCCCGAGAAAGAAAAGATTGAGCAAACAACAGAAACTGGGAATCTGAAGGGATTTAAACGTTTCCAGTAAAATCACCAGATGTCTCTTCCTGTTTTCACAGTTTTCTCTTTTTTTATTGCTGTATTTTCTCAGTTTATTGGTTATATAAATCTTTGACACAATGAAATGTTTTATGTTACAAACAGTCTTGGAAGTCAGTTTGTGTTTCAATCAGATTTAAAAGTATAAATAAAGATGAAATAAACTTTCACATCTCATGTGATGGAGTATTACGGCCATTGTAGTTTGTTTTTTTAAAGGAGTAAATTTCCACCAAAAAATTCCAAAATTTTCCCGAAAAAACTTCTGAGCTTGAAAAAAATTTTTTAGAAATAAATTCTTTCCACAAAATTTCTCAGATTAATCCAAAAAATTTTTCTTTTTTTTTGTTGTGAGTTTTCAACTTTTCAAACTCAAACTTTCTGAGTTTTTGTCTAAGAAAAATTTTGACTTTTCTTGGTTTTTCTAGAATTTTTCTTCCTTTTCTTTATTTTCGCCTTTTGAAACTCAATATTTTTAAGTTTTTGTTTTGCAGAATTTCAACTTTTTTCTCGTTCTTTCAAGAAAATGTGTGTGTTTTTGTCAGAAATGATCTGGATCCGGATCTTTTCTAACTCTTACATGATGGAAAAACTTGATAAAAAAATTACATTCTAAACATTTTTCTAGTCATAATAAGAATCTCCATAAACACCAAGGATACAAAAATCTTTCATTACGGTTATGATATTCTGTTTGCAGAAGGAAACTCGGCTGCAGTTCTGAGAGCTAAAATAAATAAAACGGCTCTGGAAAACAACAGCTGTGTATTTGTTGTTTGCTGCAGGCCTGAAAAAGACGGAAACAAACCAGGATGTAGTTTCTGTTTGTTACTGAAATTTTAGGAAATATCGCTGGCTCTTAAAGCTTTTGACTCCCAAACTGAGTTTTTGTTTGTTTTTGTTGTTTCTTTTTGATTATGTGTTTGCTGCAGATCATTGCATCAAACTGATAGAAGACAAACTGGACTCAGTTTTTGCTTCATCTCTGATATTCATTTTTGCCTTCATGTTTTCAGACCACAGATTTTCAGGCCAGTAATTTCGTCTTTGCTTTAAATGATCTGCAGCCGTTTGAGTCTGCAGGCGCTGATGGAGCGGCCTTTGACTGTTCCTGTAAGTTTCATGAGACTGTCTTCACTCAGCGTGAGTCCGTCAGGGAAACTGTTGGCACACAGACATCCTCCTGCAGGCAGGAAGAGGAACTCATCTGGTTTGATTCTGCAGCTGATGTCGCAAATCAACAACTTAATAAAATAAAAGTCAAAAGAGAGTTTTGTTAATTTTTTTTTAAATCAATTATTTTTTCTGCAGAAGAAGATTTAGGCAAAATAAAAACTTTGCAAAAAGTGACAGCGATGATCTTTAACTTGAGCTAAAAGATGTTTTAAAAAGTTGGATATGACAGAAATAAATTTTATTTTTGGGTTCAGGGTTTTCATGTAGGTATAAGCTAAAAAAAGACAAACTTTTAAAAACAATCAAATCAAAAGTTAAATAGCGGCTGAAGGTGTGCAGGGTTCTGCAACCGGGTGTGTTTTGGTTTTTTATATTTTCATCTCAGTAGATTTTTATTTTTATTTTACAGAGCAAATGAAGGTAAGAAGGCTCGGAAATATTATATTATATTATATATGGTATTTTGAAAAAATAATTTAAAATCATGTCGGTTTATTTTAATTTTTTTTTTCATTCTTTTCATGTCAAATAAATAAATTTTATTAAAAATAAAAACCAATTTCACTGTTTTTGTCTCCCTAATGATGTTTCGCTGTTAAAGTGTGTAAGAATCCACCTGCTCCTCTCAAACCACGTGACTGATGATGTCAGCCGAGCCACAATCAAAGCCGGGAACCTGAAGACAAAATGGTGTTAGTGCGTCCATCCATCCATCCATCCATCCATCCGTCCGTCCATCCATCCATCCATCCATCCATCCGGCCGGAAAGGGGCTGAAACTTTAATCTTCTGGCTTCTCCTCTCAGTTCCGCTGCATTCATGAAGTTCAGGAGACATATGGGAAAAGCATTAGCCTCTCTATTCACCAGGGCCCTCCCACCCTCTCTCTTTCCCTCTAATCCGCCCACATGTACCGTCTGAGGAAAAAAATAGTGCAGGAGGTGACGCTCCTCCAAAGGAACAGAGAGGGAGAGGAGAGGGAGAGGGAGAGGTGTCTACAGGCTGCATCTCCACTCAAACATTTGGAAGAGGGGGGAGGCAGAGGAAGAGCTACACCCAGAGAGAGAGAGAGAGAGAGAGAGAGAGCAACAAAGACTGGCACTTCTGTTTTTTCTTTTTTGGCAATAACAAAGAGGTGGGAGAGACAGAAAATAGCATAAATAAGCGGGGGACTTCTGCTTCATTTCATCCGGAAGACTCCATCATCATGACCATAACGCGCTTTAAGTAACATCCGGCAATAATAACGCGGCTTTCCAGCAACAGATGTGCGCGATTTGCCTCTGATTTTGATTGGGGAGAAAAGCAGAAGAAGAAAAAGAAGAAGAAAAGATCAGCTGAATGCCTGCGAGAAACTGGACTGAGAGCATCAAGCAGAGAAATCTGCGCTTTGATTGATCTTTTTCCGTAAAGCTTCATGTGCGTGTCTGCGCGCGCACAGCAGCCGAACCTGAGCCAAACGCGAGTGAGTATCCAACCGTGACTGTGTGTGTGTGTGTGTGTGTGTGTGTGTGTGTGTGTGTGTGTGTGTGTGTGTGTGTGTTATTCTGATTGGTGTGTGTTTTTCTTTATTTTATATACTGGTGGCTTCATTCAAAGGAATATTCTCCCATCTTGGAAAATAAAAATAAAAAATAACTGCATCCGTTTAGCAGCATTCAACAAGTCTGCAATACCGGTAAAAAAAAGAAAAAGTGTGATCGTGTTCTGATCAATATCTGACTCAAAGCACTTAAAGGGAAACAGAACTACAATCTGAAACTGCAGACAAAATAAATAGAATAAAAAATCATAAGCAGTTTGATGCTGTCTGACTAAAACGAGGCTGGGGGTTTAAATGTTGGGTGTTTCCTCCAGCAGATCAGTTTCATGACTCTGGGTGCATGCATGCACTCCCTCCTGCATCATTCTGCCTGCACGAGTTCCCCCGTTTCTCTGTGTGTGTGTGAGAGAGAGAGTGTGTGTTGCTTTGTGCTTTTAGCAGGAATGCATCTGTTCTTCTCTTTGCATGTCAGTTTTCTCTCTCTGTGTGTGTGTGTGTGTGTGTGTGTGTGTGTGTGTGTGTGTTGAGGCCTGAAATGGAGGTCTGATATGGAGGAGGAGATGCAGAGGCTGAACAGGAAGGACATGGTGTCTCTGAGATCTCATCCAGGAAGTCTAGAAGAGATGGAGGCGGGATGCTGAGCGTCTAGACTTTTTCTCCCTCCTCTCTCCACGGCCTCTTCCCGGCGTTCGCTGACAGTTTCCTCCATCTGCATTCCTCTGCATTTCACACACAGAGCCCGTGGTTTCGTAACAGCTGGCTCCGGCGCTCCTCTCCTGTTCCTCCATTTGCTCTCCCTCTGCCACCTTCCCCAGCCCCGTTCTCAGTCCTGCATTATGAATCGACTTGCTGCTGCTATTTTTAGGCCCAGGGTAACCCAGAAACACCCCTTTTTGATTTTTTGTAAAGAAGAGGGAATAAAGATTCCCCTCTCCTTGTGGGATTCTGGTGGAGTAAGTCAGAGGGGCTCGTAAAAGGAGGGCGCTGCTGTTTGAATCTATTTTGGCAGCTGTGATTGAGTTACGGCTCTGTTTTCCTCGGACCCTTCATCTCTCCCTGCCTCTCATGCTTCCTCTGTCAGCTGTGGCCTTCAGAGCTGGAAACTTCACTGCATCTGTCCTGATTACCTGCTGGAGAAAATCCAGCTCCTCTAATGTCCACTTTGCTCCCCTTTTCCTCCTCTTAGCTTCTCGACGCTCAGAAATTATTTATCCAGATTATTAAAGTGAGATTCTGTGAAGTTATCAAGTTTCCTCAGTTAAAGTAAACAGACGTTCGATTAGAAAATCCTCAGAGCGATGCAAGTTATAAAGCACATCTATTCAATCCAGTTCAACCAGATTAAATGTTGATCTAACTCATGTAATCTGAGTTTCTTCATCACAGTGTTAGCAAGCGCTGCTAATCCGTCTCATTTGCTTTTGCTGCTCCCTCTTTTCATTCCGTTAGAGAACCGGGCAGAGACGTCCAGGCATCATTTGAACTTCTTGATGTTTTTAAACACAAGCAAAATTTGTTTGTTAAAAAAATCAAAAAATCATCATTTTCTTTTTGACACATTGATATTCCAAGAAAATTATGTTAAACATGCAGTTTACAAGCTTATGCCAAGAAAACCAGATCTAAAAACTGCTGCTGTTAATTTTAGTTTCATTCTGAAATGAAATTATAGCATGAAAAACCGATAAAACCTGAATTGTTTATTATATTTATTTATAAAAGCGTCAGTTGGCTCTTCATCACTTATCTGACCTTCAGAACAAAGACTTGTTGAGTTTGTTGCTGTTATTTCATCCAGACCTGATCCGAGTCACCAGGAGCCACAAACACACAATCCCAAACTTTAACCCACAGATTGACGCCTTAAACTTCCTCCGTTTGGGTCGCTGGAAACTGCTGAAAACTGCAGTTTTAATATGAACGAAGAGGTTCGTTCATATTAACTAATGGATAAATTGTTGCCACTTCTTAGATTTTTTTTATATCGTTTATTTCCTTTTAACTTCTTCCAGTTTCTTTTTAAAGTCTGTTTGGCTGTGAACACAACAGTTTGACCTCAGTCACTTGAAATAAGTCTAGATTTTGCTATGATTTATTTTTTTTATAAATCATAGCAAATGATTTATAAAATCATTTGCTATGATTTTAGCAAATGATTTTTGCTAAAATCATTTGCTAATGATTTTAGCAAATCCAACCTGACGGATAAACTTTCTCACTCTGAGGATTTACTCACTTTTTCCTACAAACTGTGTTTCCTACAGATAAAGGAATTATTACTGATAATAACTTCAGTAACCTACTGAAGTTATTATCAGATCTGCTGGCCTTTCTTTGCAGCAGATCAGACAGGAAGAGGGCAGAGAGAGAAAAGCAAAGGTCAAAAGGTCGGGACTCGAATCCCGGTGGGCTGAGCTGACAACTAAAAGCCTTTATTTGTGGGCCGGCTGCTGTACCGCCACACCACAGCCGCCCCTCGTCTGCTCCTTTAAAGACATATTAAAGGTCTTATGAAGGGAGATTTTGCTAAAAGGCTTTAAAAAGTTAATATCTTACCCTCAGTAAATAACTCTCTTGGGTCTGAAACCATTAACTTCAATCTCAGAGGCGAAAGCTTATCGCTAATCCAACGAGGGACCAGAACTGCAGCAAACTTTTGCTGTTTTATAGCAACTTCTCTCTCAAAAACGTCTCAGCAAACAGTATTTTACGAATTGTTACGTTGTCGTCTGCCTGTTTTTAATGCTAAACATGACCTCTAACCTACGTAAACTCAAACTACTTGTGCTAAAATAAACTGGAAATAAATCTGGACAGAATAATAGTTTAATCATAAACTGAAAAGATTTTCAGACTGTGGAGTCTGCAGCTGATACAGAAACAGGAAACAAAGGTCGGAGGCAGTGCAACACCAATTATCTTCCTGTGTGAAACACTAAACGCTGAAAGAAATTTCAAGTGTTTCAGTCAGAGAACGTAAAACAGCAAAAATCATTTAAAATCAGTCACATGATTTATAATGCAATACTTTCCCTTTTTACACCACCACCATTACAAGTGGACAAAATAATTTGTTCCTCTGTTAATGACCAAAAAGGTAACAAAGGTGATAAGAAATAAAAATTTGAATGAAAACCAGGCATCACTTTTGAATTGTGGTTCAACAGAATTATTTTAAAAAACAAACTAATGAATCAGGTCAAAATGATCCAACCTGCAGCTCAACCTTTCCAGGTAATGAAAGTATTTTTATAACTTTTGCACCTGTTGAAAAAACCCGAGATCATCCCACTTCCCCATGCTGGAGATTTCAGTTCAACAGTAACGATACATGAAGTTACCTTTAAAGTTAATCACTCAAACGCCAATGAAATCAATCTGCTTGTGTTTGTTGTTTTTATCTCCTGCAAACTTTGCTTTAATTCTACTTCCTTTTTCTATCTAATCATAAGAAATCACAGTCATGAGACGGCAGGCTTCCTGAGAAAAGTGGAAGTAAGTTTCCAATATTGCAGGTTCATGAAAATAATTAAAACTCTTCCTTATTTCAAAGCATAAAGTTTCAAAGAATGAAATCTGAATATTTTGAGTAACTTACATTAATATTAGTTTGCTTGAACGAATATTTACACTTACAAGTAAAACAAGTAACTGCAACTTTGGTATCAAATAATTAGAATAATAGTTTATTCTTGGTTTCTTTTCAGAAGACCATCTGTAATAACTCAGACTATGATTATTATAAGAGCAACTAATAAGTTGTAGTTATCATATTATAAATGAATGCTGAATCAAAGGAACTAAAAAGGTTATAAATGTGATTTTGACATTGATGGTGTAAAATGTAACTAATTAAAGGTCACTGATGATGTGCTGGAGGTGAAAGGATAGGAGAAAAGAGGAACTAACAGAGCAGATATGACCATGGCCTTATTCGGAAACAGAACTTAAACTTTTCCAAGAAAAGGTTGTGCAGGGTCATCAGAACGTCTCTAACACAGTGACGGATATTAACCAGGAGATTCTGTGTCAATATCTGCAGCAGTTCAGACGGTTAAAAGGTTTATGAAATAAAGTTCACATGCCAGCAGCTACAAATCCGGTTAACCTGGATTTAATCTGTTTTGGCGAAACAGATGTTCTGCGCATGCAAACAGCTTTCAGTGATAAAGCTTTATAAAGAGGCTTTTCAAAGATTTATAAAAAGTTGTTGTGTGGAAAGGATAACTAGAGCTTCTGTCCTCAAACCAAAACTACATTTCCTAAATGAATCCACATCTGTTCTGTTAATTCAAATGCAAACTGATAAAGTTAATAAAAAATGAGTTTCAACTGTGGCAGAATCATAACCTACCGCAGCTTTAGCCATGCTCAAAATCCTCACTTTCATTTGAATGAAAACGCTGCTGCCTCCTGGTGGTGGAGGATAGCTGTTACAGCTACAAAAATCCATCCAGAAGTAAATAAAAAAAGAGGAAAAGGGCATCAATTTAAACTCAGAGTAGTTTATCTCAGATGTTCAGGAGGAACTCGGTTCAAAGTGGCACAATAAACTGGACCTGACTCCATCATGGATGCAGCTGTAAAAAATACAGAGACTGAACCGAATGGAAAACCTCCTGTTATTCCACCAAGTACTGATTCTGAGCTCTTCCTGAGTTAAAACATTAGTGTTGTTGTTTCTAAATGAATATTAACTTGTTTTCTTTGCGTCTTTTCCCTTAGTTTGAGTTTTTGCTTTGCTTTTCAGACACATGTTGTCAGTAGTCCATAGAATAAAAGAATTATCATTTTACTCAAATGAAAAAGTAAAAGATAAGCCGATCATTTTAAGTTGAGTTAATTTTTTCCAGAGCTGTATTTGTGTCTTGAGTAAACATACATGAAACTAAACTGCATTGAATTAAGCAAATAAAATATTA